GACGCACCGGTGTGGAGTACGGGCATCTTCACCTCCATACGCTGCCGCAGGGCGCAAAAACCGAGGAGGCCACAGAGTCACAGCAGGACCCGACACCCAGTGCCGGCGCCTCGTCAGCGATCGCGCGGCTCCGAAAACGGTCCCGCCGCCGCATGCAGGGGAGTTGTTCTGGCGCAGTGCCGCACAGGCGCCTCGTCTCACTTGGGTCGGCCGCACCGCATCGCCACGCAGTCAACAGAACCCCCAGAGTGTCGATGGTGGCGGCCGCCCCGAAAGTGGAGGACCCCCTCCTCAGGGAAGCCCTCCCTCTCGCATGCTGGTTTTTCCACGGGCAGCCCGAGTGGAGCAGACACTGTTTTGCCCGGTCTGCTTCGAGGTCTGTGTGCAAGGCTGCCGCGGTCATCTGCACTAAAACGCACGTGATTAGTCACCATGGCCTCGGCAACGCGCGGGCCCTAAGGGCAGCTAAAGGACCCCTGACGGCCGCGCCCTTCAGACGCGTGGTCGTCTGCAAGAAATGCGGCTTTACAACAGCGGATAGAGAAGCGTTTTGGGAGCACATGACGCCAAAGCACGCGATAGGCCCGCCCCCGAGTGTGAACGAGGCCCGAGGGGCTCTCGCGGCGCCGCGTCCAACACGCGGGCCGCCTTTACGCGCGGGCGTGCACCACCGCGTCCTCCAATTTCGTTGTCCAATTTGCGGCGAGCGTTGCCGGATGCAGGGCCGCCTTAGCCGGCGCAAATGCCCACAGCTACGCCAGCGCGCCGCGAGTGTCCTCGGATGGCCGCCTTGCGTGGGCGCCAAACGCTGTCGTCTCCAGAATCTGTGCTGTCCAAACGCGCGCGCGTTCAAAAACTTCAGCCATACGGCCCCTTGCCGGGCATTCCCCCCGCACCGCGACTACGAAGTACCCCAACTTGCGGCGCGAGCGATGGCCCGGGGCGCCTCAAACGCCCCCGTTGCCGCAGGCCGAACGTGTCAGGTGGGTGGTTCGTCGCGTGGGGGCGGCGCGCCCCGCCGAAGCAAACCCTCTGCCCCCGGGCCGCGCGCAGTCAGCGGCCGCCGCCCCCGGTAGCCGGGCGCTCGGCCGGGCCCGGCCCCAGCGAAAAGAACTGGGCCCGCGGGGGAAGAGGCACACCCCGCGGCGGCTCCCGCAGCGCGTGCGGGTCGCACGGCTAACGGCGGCAGCAGCAGCGCTGCCGGGAGGAAAGCGCGTCTCTCACAGGCGAGGGGGCGCGCGATATTGGGGGCCGCCTCCCCCGCACCCGTGGCGGGGCGTCGTGCGACCCGCGCGGCGTGCTCCTCAAACACAGGCGGCGGCGACGAGCAGCCACTTGCCACACGCGCCCCGCAGAGGCACCCGCCCCTTCCAACGCGCGGCGCACGGCGCACCCGCGCCTGTTAGCCGCGGCCGGCGGGGCGCTCTGGGAATCGAGGCGGCGGCGGCGGGAGCTTGGGGGCGCCGTCGTTTCCCGGCGGCCTGCGTGAGGAGGGGGCGGGAGCATCCCCGTCTTGTTTGATCCTGGCCGCCTGGCGAGCCGGGTTCGGTTTGGGGGTTCGGGGCGCGATGGGGCCGCGCCTGGGTCATCCGCCGGCCCGCTTCCCCGGCGACCCGTTCGCTCCACCTGTGTCCCGGGCCGGCCCCCGGCGCGTATAGAAAACGTTGGTGATGCCGCCACCCCGCTGGATGTGGTGGTGGGCTCATTTTATGGCTTGCTTTGCGCCGCTTCTTCTTCGCACCCCCGTTTGGACGAGGCGCGGCGTGACCAATAAAAAGCGAATCGGAATTTCTTCGCGTCGGCAGCGTCTCGGGGGAGGAAGCGGATCCGACGAAAGAACTCGGATCCAATTTTTTGCATCTTCGCACGAGGGCGAAAATGCGGCTGCCGCAACCCCCTCAGAAGAGTGATAAAGCTACACGTGCCGATGCAGAGCCGCTGCGGCGTGAAGAAAAAGTGCGTTGTAGAATGGCGCGATTTTTGGTTGTCGAAGAAA